CGAAAATACATTACTTCACCCTATACTATACATATACATATCACCGGTCACACATATAATAATAATATTAATAATAATAATAATAATAATAATAATAATTTTGTCATTAATAGCCAATGGATATTTGTAAATCATTTATTTCAGGTATTGTACATCGATACGCATTTAAAATATTCGTCAGTTGTGGCAATTAGACCTGATGGAAGTTAAGACGTTCACACATTATCGGCAGCTACCAGTACCTGTCTCGCGTGTCTCGACTGTTTAGTGCGGGATTCGTGCCTGGTACACAAAACTCGTATAGTAATGTATTATGTGTAACGACTTTTAAATTGTCGACGACCTACATAGGAATTGTAGTATACACGAAGACAGCTAGTAAACGAAATTATGTTTTTTTATAAGTAGTTAAATTGTCTCATTTTCTGTATTTCTCAATATGATATAACTTTTAAATATATCTTATTTTTCAAAAATAAATTTACTCACAAGCCACAGGTGTTTTACAGGGATTTCCATTCAAGTGGATATTCCTTTTATTAGATAAATAAATAACTAAGCAATATGAAATTTTATTTAGTATTTTAAAGTATAATTTGTAATACTTTTTACCGTCTCAAGAGTTATTAGGGCAAATGTTCTATGGCGTCCAAAGTATTGTGAATTTCGGGGGCATCATAAAAATGAATTATATAAAGAAAAATTTGGTGTTTATTTATAGGTATTGATTTTTCTTTCTTTTTATTTGTTAATGTTTTATTTTACAAATTATTGTGCTCATTTGGTAGTTATTATATTACTTGAGTGTTTAATTTATATAATGACAAATATTGAATACGGAATCGTAATGACTATTATTAATTATTATTCAAATATATTTAAATATATTATGATGTTACAACCAAATCGGCTGCATCCGAATTGCGGTTAGAGACGATTTTTGAATCGTCACGTGAATTGTAGGTAATATCCTAGTTGCGGTCATATACCTATTACTTATCTGTAAAGTTTATATATAAAATATATAAAATGGCTGATCGTAGTTTTGAATATTGCATTCATTATGCCTACGCCTCAATAAACCTGCGTTAAAAATTAGTTCGCCCAGTAATACAATGTTAAGTGAAAAATTAAAAAGACTACGGGTGTTAGTTGTAAAAGGTTATTAATTTCAATGTTATCGTACTCTAATGAATGACGTGCAACGATGGGTATGTTGTAAAAAAACTTGTAATGCGGCTATAAAATATGATGTTAACGGTGTCATTTGTAAACAGAATGCAACACGTAATTACGAACCAGATCATCACCAATCAATAGTACCTACGGCAAAAGGTTAGTAACAGTGTTAAACGTAAGACAGTGGAGAAGTTGTGCGAGCTTCCCTCCAAAATTATTCATTCTGAGGTGTTAAGTACAGTACTCAGTGTACTGGTGTCAAATGACGTTACACTGATTAGAAAAAATAATATTTTTATGTATATTATACACACTGCAAGAATGAATGTTCACCCGAAGTTGCCGTGTGACTCTTCACAATTACATTTAAATCTTCCTATAGTAGGTAATTAATAAAATGCAAACCAAAAATAATGAAAATTGGTTTTTTATAAACAATGTTCAGAACAATATAATATGTTTTACGACTCAGATAAACTTTTTTTCTAATTACTTATTTACTAATTTACTTTTTCAAATTGCCCTTTTCCTTTTAAACAATTTTTTGTGATGCATGGATATAAAAACAAAAACAGCTCATACCTTTTTTTCGGGCTTCCTTTTCTACGACCAAACGAAGCTGACGATTGTTTTAATATGTTTTTACGTTACTATGAAAAGAGTGAAATTAATCGTATTGAATATGTGAAGTCGATTTCTTTCAAATTTGTATCCACAAAATTTTAAAAACTGTTTTGTCAAGTTTTAACCACTTAATTCAAACATAAAATTAAGTACCAATATTTTTAACAATACCTACACAATGAAAATAGTATAGACAGTTTTAAGTCTGTTATAAATGGGAAGGAAAATGTTAAAACTTTTTTGTAAATAAAATAGCATGGTATATACCATATATACTAGGTATATATTTTGATATATTTTGGCATGCTCTAACGCGAGTGGTGAACGATCTTTCTCTGTATTTAGAAGAGTTAAAAATTATTTACATTCATCTTTGATACATAAAAAATCATTGGCATTATCTATTTTAAATATTGAAGCTGAAATTATACGAAACATTGATTGGACTGACATAGTTAAAAACTTAAATAAAGAAAAAAATCCGTTATTTGATCATTATTATTTATTTTAATATATGTAATTATTATTATTACTATAATTAATTAGTGTTCTTATAAATAAAAAAAGTATTGTTTGTAATAAACATTTAAAATAAATACTATGAATTTTCATATTAATATATTACTCATAATTACTCGTATATGTATTTTATGCATACAAACATTTTTTATAATCTGTATGTACTATTCTGTATAAATAGTAAATTTTTAATTAAAATAATGTAATCTGAGGCTCATTCATTTTTATTTAGGAGGGTTATGGAAATTATAGTGTTCCATGTAAAAATGGAACACAGCGTGAATATGCTATTTAATTTATACTTCAGTTGTTGTATTCCGTCTTAGTGACTCGAGTGCGAATAATGTTAACCCTTAATTGCAAGAGTTTTTACTGATGATTGTTATTATTAAATAAATATTTATTTATTTATAACTGCATTATATATATAATAGTACATATATTACAGAAATATTTGGTCGGTAGTCAAGCTCCCCTCATAGTTGTACCTATGTGTGGGCGTAAAATATTTTTGCCCTAGGGCGATCTTAGTGGTTGGGACGGCACTATATATATTTTATATTTTATATCATATAATACTAACAAATTAATATAATAACTACTATTTAAAAACTAAAGATAATAAGAAAATTATATATATATATATATATAAAGATTAATTTTAAAAATTGAGTAAATATTATAATACATATTACATTTGTATACTCGTAGAATTAAAGAAAATATTCTTTTATTCTGAATAGTTTATCGCCTATCGTTAATTAAATTTATCAGTGGTCCATTGAAGTGATATCATTGAATGAATACTGAATTTAAAATAATATGTTCATTTTAACCTACTTCATAGGCTTCATAATGAAAATTAAACCCATTTAATGTCATTACAATAAATGTTAGATTTATTAATTTTCTACAAATTTATTTTGTCAATATACCTAACTAATAGTATTTTTCAGTGTAGTCGCCTTGAAGAAAAATAAGAGGGTGACAGTTGGTGTTTTAACTTTTTATAGTGTTAGGAAGTACGATTGTCGTGGTCTTTTTTTTTTATTATAATGATGAATAATTTATGATATAAGATATAATATAGTGTATAGTTTTTTGGAGTCAATGCATTAAATATTATTATAATATGAGCCAATAATAACCAATAATTAATTATAATTAATAAATTTTCTAATAATAAACAGTATTAATCATAGGTCAAACTTAATGTTTTACTTATTTTATATAATTTAATTATTGTAACATAATACATTACAATTAAATATAACTATGTTAATGTCTAATGGTGACTATTTGTTCAGTACAGGGTATAATTAATATTTTAAGTAAGCTGTAAATTCATTGTAATAAACGATATCTTAATTGCTATATATGATTTTATTGAAAGAAAACTATATATGATAAATTTAGTTTGATTAATTTTAATCTTTAAATGCCGAGTAATAATTTTTGTTATGTATAGAATAAGATTATTATTTTGAATGTTATGGCGATTATCAATTTTAAATACTGATGATTATACAGTATCATTATACATATCATTACTTATTGATTTTAAAAAATACAAATGGTAACACTTCCGGCGATGATTATGTTCTTATCGAATTTTATTTCAATGCCTTAAATCCATATTTTAAATAAACGTTTATAAACATCGGAAACCAATAAAAATAAAATTATCAGTAATCAATTAATAACGGCCTATATAAAATAAATATTTGAATAGGTTCTCAATAAAATATTATTATGAGTCACACATCGCACGAAATCTAACATAAACAATACTAACAATATTTTAAAAACTTTTTTACAAAACAAGGAATTGTTTACATTCTATTGACATTATTTATTTTTCTTCAATACCTATTTCAGACTTTTTAAATTTTAAGTAATCGTATTAAGTGAGTTTTATTATATACAATTTTTTTTAATTCGATGTTACATCGTTTCTTCAACTGTCAACTAATTTCTAATTTAGGATTCGTGTCGTTATCGAGTTACTGCCGAATCAGCAAATAGTTCAATAGTGTAAAAAAAAATTAAAAATATAAATAATTTTTTTAGACCAATGTCCGGAGAGCGGTGTATCATTTACTCCAAAAAGTACCTTTTTTTTACTAATCCCCTCAAAACTACCTGGAGCAAAATACACCAGTTGCCGTCACATGTTATATATACGATATGATATGATAGCAGATTGGATTTTGTAAAAGTTGTTTCACAAAACATAATAAGAACCTACAATAATATTACAATTACAAATGTTTAATTTTTTTGACAAATTACATTGTATATTACCCACTTATAAACAGTATATTTGTTATTATTTATTAATATTCATTATTAATGATTTACATAATTACCTCCCCTATTTTATGTTTTAATTGTGTATATTATATGTGAGGGCAATTGGTACATTTTTTAAATAACAAAAACAGTTGCCGAGGGCAACTGGTCAACGCCCGTCAGGACGAGTAGCACTGTTAAAGTTTTTGTTGAAATAAAAAAAATATCACACGTGGTACGTAAATATTTACGTATACGTAATACGAAAAAAATACTAGAGTTTAGAATAGTACTATATAATATGCCACACAAATATGTCAAAATTTTTTCATGATTTAATCAATATACTTAGTATGTTAATTTTATTTGATATATTTTGGCCCGCAAGTAAACGAGAAAATTACAAAATTACAAAATCAATCGATCTTACAGTGTCCGCGGGTTAAAAATCAAATGAGCTACAATAATATTATATATATACTCTGCAGTTATGTGGTGCGGTCGGATTCGATGACGGGCGGGCGGACGTACGACGGTTTAGATGGGCGTTTCAGTCGAGTCGTCGATGGACGACGATCTTGGCTCCTTGCGCAACCCCTTGGCGTAGCTGTGCAGCAGATCGCGAAAAACGGCGCCGTCCATGTTGCAGGACAGGTAGTAGATGAACAACCAATCGGAGTACGTGGTCTGGTGCGCGATCACGGCCAGGTCAACGTCATCGATGCGGATGCCTGGCGACGCTTCGCGCAGCAGCAGCCGGTTGAACCATTCGAACGAGTGCATCGCGTACTGGAAAATGCGCCACAGGAGCGCGGCCACGCTGACCGGGATCAGCACGACCACGAACCAGTACCACAGCACCATGTAGATCTTCTCGTTGATAATGTTCAGCGCCATCACGCACAAGGCGTCGTGGGTCTGCAACGTACCGGACGGCCCGTACTTGTGGAAGTCGCATTTGGTCATCTTGGGGAACACGCGGTCGAACGTGACGTCGTTGTCGAAGAGCGCGGTCAGTCCGTACGTGTAAAACTGGCCGTCCAGGAACGCGTTCATCAACACCATCTGCAGCAGCACGTTGACCAAGTTGAGAGCCTCGCAACCGATCAGCACCACTGCCCACATGCGGTTCATCCGGAACCGCGTCACCATGTCCAGGTGGTTCAATACGTCGCGGACCTTGGCCCACCGCGTCGCCTCGGACGGGATCATTAACGAGCCCGCCACCATGTCCTGGTCGCCATCCGGCTTCAGGTACAGCCGTTGCAGCCCGTTGACCAGCAGCTTAATGGTGCCCGCCTCATACGTGCGCCATACCAAGTGCGGCAGGTAGAACAGCAGTGCCTGACCGAACAGCACGAATGGCACCCACTGGTAGTAAGCGTGGTACACCTTCTTTGAGTTCAATCGTGGCGGGCCCACGCCTGGCTTCACCGAGCTGGGCACGTTGGGCAACGTGTACGTGGTGGTGAAAAAGCAGAACGTTTCGATCACATTTTCCTTCACGCCGGTCGACATGCACCGGATATGTTCACCAATGTACTGGCGACTGCACACCAGCGTGGTGCACGCCAGCAGTAGCGCGAAAGTTAACCGATAGTGGACGCGGAACGCGGAGTTGTCGATGGCCACCAGTCGGACCTTCAGTAGCCGCGAGTTCTTCACGACCGTGCTGAATACGCTGATCATGATGGAGTTGTATATGTCACCGTGTTGTTGCACGATACACACACACACACATACACGTGTGAACGCGATCGTAAGAAAACGATAAACGTGTAGTACGACGAGAAAAAAACTGGAGATGACAACGGACAAAACGCGTGTATAAACTGTAGCGCGCGAATACTACTACTGGCGCTCGCGAACCAACGCGTACCGGTCCAACGTATGGCGACCCCCACCGCGCTCAGCCCCGGTTTACTAGTGCAATCGGTCGCCGCGACGGCGGATGTGGCTCCTGTTTTCCCCGTTAGCGGTTCTCCGGCGAGCGCACGTGCTGCCCCATGTTTCTCGCTCCTTCATTCCGTACCATCGCTCTTCAGCTACTACCATACTCATGGCCGTATTTAAGATTTCTCCGCCTAGGAGCAACAACATTTTTCCGCCCCTCTTCCCTGTAGCTTTGGGCGCCGGAACAATGAGGGCAATGGGGGCAACTGCTCACACGGGAAAAATTCCGAGAGGACATAGCCCCCACGGACATTTTCCTAGAATTTACGCTCCCGTGACTAAAATACATAGGCCATCTTCTATATTAATTTTTACGTTGAATATAGAAACAAAACTCAAATTTATTTAAAAAATTGTCTGTTTTTAAGTATTAACATACACATACAGTAAACTAATAGTTTTATTTAGAAATAACTTGCATGTACTATGTATGTAGTAGTTAATATTTTATGTTATATATGAGGTATGTATATAAGAATAAGATAACATGGAGACAATTACCCCTTATTTAAAAAATAGAAACGATTTAAATTTAACCGCAACACTCAAAATAGAATAGTTTTTAGAATAGGAAGTTCATTAACGTGACTGTTCAATAGATTTGTAATCCAATTTATTTTAAGATTCATTTGATTACTAACAGCCGATTTGATGGAACACAGTCGTTAAAATATAATAATATTGGTATAATATTATACCTTCCTTTGTATTTGCAGCTGTGCCCAGCCCCACGGTTCAAAAATTGTTCTGGCACCACTGCCTGAAGTCAGTGGCGGTTTTCCCGGGGAGGCAAGGGAGGCAGTGCCTCCCTTGAAAGTACAAGAAACTACACGGTTAATGTTATTTAAATTATTAAATATGTTTTGCTTATAATTTCAAGCATAGACACGTTAATAAAAGGGAAATTAATAAAGATAAATATGAATATAAATTTAAATTATGTATTGAACGGACTATGGAGTATACCGTGCACGGTCTCGATCTTTCAAGTCCGTGGTACTCATCAACTCATGGGTAAGAGAATGCCTAAGTGCCTATGCGGCGTGCCGCACTGCCGTGTGCAGTGTGCACAACAGGCGAATATAATATTGTTTATAGTAATATACTAATAATTTGACATACTGTATTACTATACAATAAACTAGGCTACGGCTGCCCCTCCATACATCCCGTGTCGGCGGTTCCCCACTTTCTCAGGAGGCAATCGCTGTCACAGTTATCGATACGTTACATGTGTATACAAATTTACACACACAAACGCACATAAAATATGCTAATAGCGCATGTGCGATTCTCCACGGAGACAGCATACTACCGTTGCCTCCGTTAGAAAACGTCACAGGCTGTGACTCACAGCGGCTGACCGATAATTATTATTCTAACTTTTGGGTACAAACAGAGTTTAGGCGTTCTCCATGTTTTGTGTGTACAAGTTATATTATTATTCTTTAAATCATATTATGATTATTTAATCCCTACTTTATTCCACGTTATCACTAAATGAGTTATTATCAAATATCAAAGCAATTGTAATATGTTTATTATTTTGTATTATAACGTTTTGTAATATAAAAGATTAGAATAATTATTCAATTGTTTTATTTTCTGTTGTATTTGTTTAGGTAGACGATTAGGTAGTTCGTACTGTGAGTTGTGACTTCTGAGAACAAAATAAAGTATTCTAATTTCAAATTAAAGTTATTAAAGTGATCAGTATTTTTTTGTTTCAAGTTGTTTTTTCATATTTTTTAAAAATGAATCCAATTTATGATCCGATTGTATTGCTTTTAGAACATCTTTACAGACGTTGGAATACATGTGACAAAAACGATTTACTTAGGCAAGGTAAACCAACTCCTTCTCTGACGTATTTGTCTGCAGACAAAATTGGCTCAAAAGTATTTTGTAGGTCTTTCAATTCCAACGTTTATACTAAACATCCTTGGATATGTGGAAGTTTTTATTTACAGAGGTTATTCTGTTGACCATGCATTTTATTGAGTCAATCAAATTCTGTTTGGATTACATTAGGCTATGCTGATTTTTACTAGGAAGACACTAGTCAATTTAGAAACTAAAAATTGTTATTATTTAGGTCAATAATTTTTTTTGAAATTTTTCTTTTGCATCAATTTTGTAAATATTCAACTATTTGTAACTCAAAACTAAGGAGACACTTTATAGGGTTTGTGTCTCAGTTTTGTATAAATTATAGATGTATATAGTATTTTAATATTATAATTATAATTTATATACAATATACCTACCAGTAATGCCAAATTGTAACTTAGTAGTTAGCATTTAATTATGTGTTATAGTGAAAATGAAACCTTTCTCTGACAGATTTTTAAAGAAAAAAATTGTATTTAAAAAAAATAAATGAGTTTTTAGGACTGTGCGATTCGCTTTAATAAGTCCAGATGGGTAGGAACAAAATGGTTGCCTCCTCAAAATTTTAATGCCAGAACCGCCACTGCCTGAAGTGTAAAACCGAAAATAAGTGTCTCCAACTATTCATTAAAAAGCCGCTCGCAATTAATTTTCAACATTTCAGTACACTATTACACAATATTTGTAATAAATATCAAATCCAAAATAATAACTAAGTTATAATTACATAAATAAAGTTGTAGAAAATATTCCTTAATAAGACTGATGCCGGTTCTTTTAAATAATTTAGTACTTTTCAGTCTGAATATCTCATCCCCATACAAATCAACACTAAACCAATACCTATATCCAGTGGCGAAACACAAGTATTTAAGTCGGGGAGTCGTTAAAAAAATACGTTACAGCACCCCCCCCCCCATTTATAACTTTATATATATGTATAATAAAAGGGACACGATCTTTTGTTTTTTATTTCATATTTTTTTTCGTAAGAGTAGTTTACTATTCCAATATTCAAAATTTCATTAATTAAATAGTCAGGCATAGTAGCAAATGACATTAGTATAATATTTTAATAATTAGATATGAATATTACACCAGAAATAAGTAAGTCGTAAAATAATAACTAACCATTAACTACGATAACACAACAATGCGACAAGCAATGAGATTACATTAAAGGAGCACACAACACAAAAAATATGTTTTTTTTTATTTGAAAGAATGTTCAATTTTAAAAATAATGGTATAGGTTTTACGTTTCTAATCACATTATTTGATAAGTAATGAGCAATTGAAAAAAGACGCGTGACGTCATTGGGCCCTACTCATCATAACAATTATTGTAATCGAACTACGGGTCCGTCGACTGCCAGTATCCAATCTAATTTTACGTATTTTACTCATTAAACACGACATAGTACATAGTATGTACTACATACGTTCAACCAAATTTTAAAAATATAATGTAATAATATTTAATTATAAATAAAGTTATATATTTATAAATATGTAATGTGTCTCTTTAAGATTTTTAATATTTAAAAAACTAATCGTCATATTGAAATTCTGATACTTGCATCGTCTTGAACACATAAAACCATACAGTTATACGTAAATTATACGCAAAAATAAAATGTTTAGGTTGGTAAATCGTTATGTGAAGCGAGGAACTTATACACGTATAAGATAGGCAATTACGATGAGTAGGGTTCAGTGACGTCACGCGGCTATTCTACTTAATATTTCTTAGAATAATAACTTTTTTTAAATTGGATTTTCACCAAATCATTTCATATAGCCGTAGCAACAATAGTTTAACGTTTAAAAAAAATGTAAAGAATTTTTATTTTTGTGTTGTTTGCTCCTTTAGTAACAATTTTATCAAATTTAACGTCACAATAATACGAATGACGAGACACGTCTCATAGTGCAACGATAATCCCCACTCAATAATCTATTCCCCCTGCACACCGTGCCTCGACAAACAAGACGCTGCAACGCCTCGTCTCATAACATTAATTTTTATATCTGTATTTGGATGTTTATAGAATTACCCACCACGCCACAACGAACGACAACTCACATGCACGGTCCGCAACTAATCTATTTTAAGAAAACTAATACAGAATGGCACAAAAGTAAATTTACAATAAATATTGAAGTATATCTAATATATAAAAATTTCGTGTCACAGTGTTTGTTATCATACTCTTCCGAAACTGCTCTACCGATTTTAATGAAATTTTGTATATACATTTGGTAGGTCTGCAAATAGGTTTATATCTATTTTTTATACTCCTATGTGCTATAAGAAGGGACAAGATGGTTATTGTAAAATATTAAATAACAAGATCCCGCAATAGGTGCCAAAACAAACAATAATGTTAGTTCGAAGGATTATTATGCATATCGGTTGATGATTAGACGCGATCAGGACAACGTTATTCTACGATGTCGTAAGCTTTGTCAACAATACATGGTTGATATGTATGTAAAGATAGAGCGCGAACGATTACGATACTTGCGATTCAATCAAAAAAAGCTGCGTGCAAAAGAATACATTAAGTGGATTACACACTAGGCGATTCGAACGCACGTCTCTGTGCGTTTCGAACGTCGCGATTAATCGCTTAAAATTTAACATGTACTTTTATATGGGTTTATTCACATACGTAAATAAGATGCGTGTTCGGTTGCGTTTGATCGCACCGAAACGCTCATGTTTAATTTCATGCGTTCGGTCGCGATTTGCAGCATTATTTTTCCAATGCATTTCCGGCATTTCAACATACACGGACGATTTAAACGCTGCGATTACTCCGCGTTTATTTACGTTCATTCATAATTTGTCTACGACAATTGTCGTATTCGTATACTTATTGTTTACGAAGTTCGTTATTCTAAGTTGTTACATGTCACCCAGCTGATTAGTTATTGTTACTTAAGTATAATACTTAAGTATTTAATATTTACATATTTGTACCT